CCCATCATGGTGATCCTGACTTCTATGTCATAGCCATGTGACCCAATTCGCAGCCAACAAAATACTATTAGCAGTCGGCTCAGCTACCAGGACAGTCATTTACACCTCCCATGAGAAAGTACACAGCCCTGTGGTCCAGATTAGGGAGGGGATTCTGCTCCCAGAGCCACCATTCCTGTGTATGGCCCCATGTCCTGACTCTCCAAGATGGCCTGCAAGTACTCCAGTGCGGGAGGAAGGGACAAGGAAAGACGTAAAAGCAGTAGTCTCTTAAGAAAGGGACTCTCAATGAAGGTCTCTGGATGGACACACTTCAGTTGACTTCCCTTTTGCCAGTACTTAGTCACCTGGTCACATTTAGTTGCAAGGGAGCTAGGGAATGAACTCTTTATTATAGGAGTCCTATATGCTCAGATAAAATTTGATTACAATGGGAAGAGGAGAATAAACTTGGGGGCACAGTTAGCAGACATTGCTGCAAAAACAAAATGAGTAGTCTGCTGGGAGGCTGATGGGAAATACTATCCATAATGAAAAGAGAATCCTTTGCACACCCAGCACCAGATATTGGTCTCTAACACCATTCTGCAACAAAAGAAACCAAGGTCCTTTGGAAAAATGGCTGATTTTAGACTGGGACAGGAAATATTCAAGATGATCTTGGAGTGCTGGCAGTGCCAGAAAGCAAAGAAGTGCTGAAAAGTAAAAAAACAAATGAACAAACAAACAAAAACACACACACACAAAAAACATAATGAGGTGTATCGAAGGGACACAGGAGACAAATCAAAGTGCTCCCAATGGCCAAACCCAGAATAATTAGAGCAACAAAATAAGTAATGTTAGTATTAGATTATAACCCAGAGCATAAAATATATACCCACAAGTCTATATTAATATAAATAAAAGATTACATAATAAGTAAACAGGGGAGAAGAGACAAATCTCACATGCAGAAGAATTTCTAGTAATTTGTGCAGATACTTTGAACTCAAGGAGGTGGAGCATAGCTCCCCACTCCTTAGGTGTGGGCTGGGCATAGTGACTTCCTTGCAAAGAGTATAGTATGGAAAGAAGTAAATAGAGAGTAGCTTTACAGGGAAGAAACCTGACAAACACTATATCAGGCAGGTGATCAAGCTCAACACCAAGTCATAAATCATACTGACAGTACATACCTGCTATGGTTTGAATATGTCCCCCAAAGGTCATGTTTTGGAAAGTTGATCCCCAATGCAACAGTGTTAGGAGGTGGGACCTTTAAGAGGTATTGAAGTTATGATTAAGTTATGAGGGCAGAGCCCTCATGAATGGATTAATGTCATTATCTAGGGAATGGGTACCTTATAACAGGATGAGTTTGACCCTTCTTCCTCTTTCTCTCATCTTTTCTTTGCCCTTCCCCCCCAGGATGACACAGCAAGAAGGTTCTTGCCAGACATCGGTCCCTCGATCTTGGACTTTCCAGGCTTCAGAACTGTGAGAAATAAATTTCTGTTCATTACACATTACCCAGTCTGTGGTATTTTGTTATAGTGGCACAAAATGGACTAAGACAATGGACTCCCTTTGATAGGATGTGATAAAGATGGCACTTTACTTCAGTGGTCTCCTTCCCCAGAACTTATAACCTCAGTGTCATCATAAGAAAAACATTAGATGATTCACAATTGAAGACTATTCTACCAAACGCCTAACCAGTACTCCTCAGCACTGTTAAGGCCATCAAAAACAAGGGGAACTCACAGCCAAGAGAAGCCTAAGGAGACATGATGACTAAGCATAGTGTGGTCTCCTGGATGAGATCCTGGAACAGAAAAAGGGCATTAGGAGAAAACTGAGGACATCTAAATAAAGTATGGACTTCAGTTAATGATAATGCGTCAATATTGGTTCACTAGTTATGACAAAGGTACTATACTAATACAAGTTCACAATAAGCGGTGTATTAGTCTGTTCTCACACTGCTATGAAGAACTACCTGAGACTGGGTAATTTATGAAGAAGAGAGGTTTAATTGACTCCCAGTTACACAGGCTATACAGAAAGCAAGGCTGGGAGGCCTCAGGACACTTAAATCATGGTGGAAAGTAAAGGGGAAGCAGGCACATCTTACTGTGGCAGAGCAGAAGAGAGAAACATCAAAGGGGGAAGGGCTACACACTTTTAAACAACCAGATCTTGTGAGAATTCACTTGCTATCACAAGAAGAGCAAGGGGGAAATCCACCCCATGAGGCAATCACCTCCACCAAGTCTCCTCCTCCAACACTGGGAATTACAATTTGACATGAGATTTGGGTGATGATACAAAGTCAAACCATATCAATAGGAGAATATGAACGCTGAATGTGGGTACAGAAGTCTCTGTACTATCGTCTCACTTTTTCTTTAAATCTAAAACTGTTCTTGTAAACAAAAAATAAAATTCTAAGGCCCCCTAACCACCTGAATAGACCCTTCCTCTTGGCCAAGGGCACTCCAATGTTAACCTGAAAAAACTAGTTCAGGCTGTGATGGAAAGGGGTAGCCGGACGTGCCTCATTCTACCCTCTTCCCTTTTGGAATTCCTGATAGAACAGACTCTTTAAGTCCAATAAGAAACACATACGATCTATTCTTTCTGAAGCCTGCTATCGGGAGGCTTCATCCACATGACAAAACCTCAGTCTCCACAACCCCTTACCATAACCCAGACATTAACTTCTATTGATAGTAACTCTTTCAACCAATTGCCAATCAGAAAATCTTTGAATCCGTCTATGACTTGGAAGTCCCCACTTCCAGTTGTCCTGACTTTCTGAACCAATGTACACCTTACATGTATTGCTTGGTGCTTTATGTCTCCCTAAAATGTATAAAACCAAGCTGTAATCTGGCTATCTTGGGCACATGTTCTCAGGATCTCCTGAGGGCTGTATCACAGGCCATGGTCACTCATACTTGGCTCAGAACAAATCTCTTCAATTACAGAGTTTGACTCTTTCGTCAACATTCTAAAACAAAAAATTTATTTTAAAAAAGAGTGAGGGAAAGAAACAGAGGGACGGTTCCCCCTTCTTTTCTGTGTAGGAGGTCATGATGTTTGGAGCTGAGATGGCCATCTTTTGATTCTCAATATGCCTGTTCACAGCCCTAACCAACCTTGGACCCCTCTACTGGATTTTTGTTATGTGATAAAATTAATCTCACGGTTTAAGCTGTTTTGGGCCAGGTGTCTTGTTCATTGCAGTTGAATGCATCCCAACGAATAGTACTCATATCATTTTCACGGCCACAGCTGTGGTTCAGACCTTTAGACCTTTATCTCCCTTCCTAGCAGTTTGGCCCGCTCTACTATCCTTCCTTCCCAATCTCCTGGCAGCTCTCTTCCTTCTCTAGCTTCACCCCCTGCCTGCATTTCTCCCAAAACCCAGTGGCCAGCAACTCTTGCCGTTCCTAGGCAGGGCATGTTCCCTCATAATTCCAAGCTTGGACACACAGGATTCCCTCTGCCTGGAATGCAGACTCCTCCATCCTTATTTCTTCCAGCAATTAACTACCCCCATTCAAGTTTCAGTTGCCAGCCATGGCATGATATGTGGCCAGCAAGATTCTAAGATGTCCCTGCAGATCCGTGACGGCTGGTGTACATAGCCTGCATAACCCTCAGTACTGTGAATATAACGAATTATACACCTATGATCAGGTTATGTTATGTGACAATGTTGATGTTAAGAACAGATTGTCAGTGTGCCTGATCTAATCACACGCTCTCTTTCAAAGCTGGGAGCGGTGGCACTTTGGGAGGCCAAGGTGGGCGAATCACGAGGTCAGGGGTTCGAGACCAGCCTGACCGACATGGTGAAAACTCATCTCTACTAAAAATACAAAACTTAGCCGGCGTGGTGGCGCACGCCTGTAATCCCAGCTACTCAGGAGGCTGAGGCAGGAGAATTTCTTGAACCCGGAAGATGGAGATTGCAGTGAGCCGAGATTGCACCATTGCACTCCAGCCTGGGCGACAGAGTGAGACTCCATCTCAAAAATAAAATAAAATAAAATAAAATAAAATAAAATAAAAATAAAAGCAGAGCGTTTTCTCTGGCTGGGAGCAAAAGAGGAAGTTAGACAGAGATCTGATGTAGGAGGATGTTTGGCATGCAAGAAGGTCTCTGTCGCTGGCTTTCAGGATGGAAGGGGTTATGTGGAAGGATGGAAGGAATGCAGGTGACCTCTGGAACTGTAGGCAGGCTCAGGAAATGGGGATGTCAATCCTACAACCACAGGAAACTGAATTGTGCCTAAAAGAATGAGCTTGGAAGATCTTTGCAAGAAGTCAGCCCAGCTGATACCTTGATTTCAGCCTTGCAATATACCCTGAGTAGAGAACTCAACCTTGCCCCTGTGCAAACTTCTGATCCGTATAACTGGGAGCTAATAAACTGACACTGTTTTAAGTCACTAAGTCTGTGGCGGTTTGTTGTTATGCAGCAACAGAAAAGGAACACGCCACATCTCCTCTCTGAAGTCATCTCTCACTTCCCCAGGCACACCTGTGACATCTTCCTCTTGCCGCTGTGGCACCTGATACACATCCCTCCCATGATGCAGGTCACAGTGTGTTATCATTTTCCATTTACCTGTCTGCCTTCCTCACAGGATTCTGAGTTCCTGGGCAGTGGGGACTATATAATTTTATCACTGTAATCTCAGGTACAGAGTAGGAAGGTGAAAAAATATTCATTGAATGATGGTTTCATCAAGAAAAAAATCCCAAGATCACTAATTTGTAATCATATATACTAAAATAACCAAAGATGTCAGAGATTTAACATCTAAGCAAGAGGAAAAGTCACCAATATAAAAGAGAATGGCAAAAAAGAAAGAATAGGTATTATAACTATACGCATGGGATGTTTCTGAGGAACCCAGAGGTGAATGAAGTCCCCAGGGGTGGTAAATGAGGGAAGGAAGTGGAGAAATGAGCAGAACTATGAGGGGAAAAAATTTATCTCTGGATTACTTAGTAAACAAACACGTTTTTATTGAATGCTTGGTTTGTGGTGACCCTATAACTGTGGCGAATAATATCGATGTTTCAGATTTAAATACTATCCTCAGGCATTCCAAGACCCTCCTTTCTGTGGCATACAGATCTTTGAATGTTAGATTCAAGAAGGTCTTAGATTTATGCATAAAAGTCCTCCATTTTTTAAACAAATAGAAGCAAACTGATTTTCCACTGAGCTCTGTGTTTCTGAGGTGCACATCCTTGTTCCTGTGCCTTTGACACCTCTGTTAATGAATCTGTAATAAAGATTCCTGGAGGAAACCCAGAGATAGTTTGACACTGCACAACAGTTTCTCCCTCAGTCTCTGCCGCACAAGTGCCAGCTCCCTTGACCCTCAACCCAAGTTGGGATAGCTCCTTACCTCTGGGTCGGTGAGTCCCATTCCCATCTCTCTCATCTCAAATGCTGCAGTGGAAATATGGTCTGGAATATGTATGAAAGGGGTGGATCCAGCATGTACCAAGAAACCAAGTAGAAGCTAAACAGGGAGGAATGGTACAGGAAGTTGTAAGGGGTATTTAAGGAAGGGAGAAGAGAGGAGGCGGAAAGATGCTTTCTGGATCAAAGTAGGGTGAAAACCTCGGGATGCAGGTTAGGCACACCACGGAGGGCCTCACCGCTAGTCTGATTAATTTGCATTTTATCCTGTGGGCGATGAGGAGCGAAGGAAAGGGTTTTAGACTCTAGCTTTGGGGGTGGGGTGTCAACTCATGTCTCTGGGCTGAAGTTTCCACATCTGTTAAGCTGGAGAAGTAATACTTGCTGGGCCAACCAATGTACACAACCATTGTTACAACCAAGTATCGATGGTGATAAAAACTAAACAGAAAACACAAATAACACTTAGCCGGTCTCCAAGGGGGTGGTTTAAGGTTAGGTGGCAAGCCTGAAGTAATTTCTAAAGTCCCTTGGGAATAAAATTCTGAAACTTGAGCCATAAATTAAGCGGCAGATGGCTTTTCTCTTTGCAAACGACCTGCCACAGACTCAGTCCGTCACTGCCTCTGCTAGCTCTGCTACCCTTGGGCACCGTCCGCAACCCACGTGGGAGATCTTTCGCGGGATCTACTCGGATGTCTGGGATCGAGACAACCCAGGTGCGTATGCGCCGCGCACACGGAACAGCGCAGGCTGCCCGAGGCCATGGGGCGGGGCCGAGGCCGGGG